TGATGGGTATATATATATATATATTTTTTTTTTTTTTTGCAGGCGGCGGGTTTTTTTGAGACTTTTTTTTGTCATTTTGCTTATTCAGGGGGTCTATATAGTTTCATTTTATTTTTTATTTCTCCATCATGAATAGCTTAATTTCTATGCAAGGTATAGCCATAGGATAGAGTCATCTTTGCTTACTCGTAGCAAAATTAATGAAGGACCCTTGTTACCACTGATTCCAGGGGTGGTTCCATACTTGCCAGTATGATCCACATGTTTTGCAGAGCGTTCTGTTTTGGAATAGCGGCATCTGGGTCGTATAATGGTACATATGACTTTCAGCCACCAAGTCACAAGGTTATGAGTTCCATAGTCCTTTTTTTTCTGAAGAGGCTATTGGCGACGAGATGTTTTTGTGGTGCCACCTCGCGGGCGCCCTCCTGTGACGAAGCTGGTACAGTCTAAACCTGGTCTTTCTCACTACGACAGATTTTTTTTTTTTAGAGCGCAGCTCTTAGGTTTTCGTTTTTGGCTTCAGGGGCGTCGGCGTAACCGCGGGGAAAATATTCCGCTAAATTTAACGGGGAAAATATTCCGTTAAATTTAGCGGGGAAACTTTTCCGCTAAATTTAGTGGGGAAATATTTCACCTAAATTTAGCGGGGAATTTTTCCGCTAAATTTAGCGGAAAATTTCCCCTAAATGGGAGGCGAGCCGGAGAGGAGGATGGGCGGAGCTTCCTCTCCGTACCTTCCCCTCCTCCTCCTCATGAGCTGCGCTCTAATTCAGCATTACAGGGGATTGTAAACGTCTCTCTTTTTTTTTTAATTTCCCTCTTAAACTTAAGTGAGACTGCATCCCTCTTACATAAAAAAGGCAGAAGCTTTCCAAGGTCATCCTCGCTTTTCCAGGGGGACGCCGTCCCCCAAAATGTAAGAGGGCCGCTATCCCCCTTATATGTCAGAGGGACACTGTCTCCTTAAAAGTAAAAGATAATGCTGCCCCTTTAAATTTAAAAGGATGCTGTGTCTTAGGAAAAGTGCCTTCTGAATTTCCATCTTTTTATATCTTGAACTTTTTTTCTTCAAATATACCCCTAAGTCGACAAGAAATTAGGTTCCCTTGAAAAAAAGAAAAGCTGTGCCGTTCTTTAATTACCAGTAACGTAACAAATTGCAGAAAAAATATTTATTATACGAGACACTAAGTCAAGTGGAGCCTACGTCGAAATAATTATTTCACTGTCTTCGTTTTGTGTTGCCAAAAATTTTTTTAACGACATTTTCTTTAGTTTTTTAGACGCAATGGCAACCGGGATATTGCCGTCTTTTACTAGAAGTGTCGACCAGTCCGAGTGTTGGCCCGTATGTTGCGGAGTAAGAAAAACCTCTAAAGTAGTAGCCACAAAGGCCCAAGATGAGAGCTTCTTCGTGCGTGGTTTCAGAGGTCAACATAATTAATAGTCTGGTCTCCACAGTAAAAACTCTTCTTGACTCCAAAAAATCTTTTAGGGCCTGGCATGACGGCATCTGAACCCCATGTTCCCTAAAGAGAGAAAAAAAAAAGATATAAAAACAAAGGTTCAGCATTTTTGACATGCTGCTTATTTTTGTTAATTATTAGATAAATTATATAAACTCCTACATACCATGGACATGAGGCAGCTTTTCTCCAAGGAGGCACGGAGGTTGTTGTCTTTGCCGTAAAACGTCGCGCAGTCTGTGCCATTGAGGCGTTTTTTGGCTGAATCCAGCTTTGCCACCATTTCTGGTATTGTCGACTTGAAACGAAGCTCTGCTGCAACCTTGATCTGTAGAGTTACTTAAAATTTATTAAATCATATGGATCACATATTATTCGACAGATTTTTATTAGCTTTTGAATGCAGATAGAGTTCGGAAGTCTTTCAGCTGGAGTGGTCACTCTGACCTTGACGGTCTCCACTAAAAGTACTGCCACTCTTTCAATATCGACTATCCCCAAGTCGCCTCCCGAGGCTTCAATGGCCTGAAAGAAAATTTAACACAAGAAAAAAAATAAAAAAAAACTGCATTATGAAAGCTATGAAACTTACCCGGAGCTCTGCCAGTGCTTCATCGGCTGTGACCATCGGCATCGTGGTCACCAGTTGTACCTGCGATCGTGCTTTCTTTGTCCTCCTTTGCCGCCTTCTTTACGAATCATGCTGAGCTGGTGTAAAAATACGGTCTGTAAAAAGTTGTTTCCGTTAGTAAATCTGATATCCCTAAGAGCATGTCATAAAAAAAGGAAATTAAGAATATTTAGAACGCTCCTTTGATTCACCGCCCAAGTGTCCAAGTGAAGAATGCACTCTATGATCAAGACGCGACTTAAACTATTAAACTAGGGCTCAGCGATACATTTCATTTGATACCAAAGACAATAAGTTACGCCCTAAAGTAGTGCCGAAATATCGGACCACGCTTGGCCAGGGCACACGCCTTCGGCACTTATGTATTTGACTGGGGGCTCAAAGAGATGAATCATCCAGGTGGGTAACGTTTGATACCAAACGTGACCCACCTGGGCCCAGTCTTATTTCCGACACAAATATAGGCGCACGCTAAAATGACTTGCATGACGAAGCGGGCATGTAAGTGTTATTCAAATTCTGCATCTGTTAAAATCCATTTTGTAAGAAAAAAAAATACAACGGTAGACCCATTCGCCCATGCACACACTGAGTGGCGCGCTCCTTCAAAAGACCCGTGAGCCGGCGCTGTCCACACAGCAAAGAGCGAGCGAGCGAGCACTTCGCCAATGGTCGGTAACACATCTCGAAACCCCGGCCCCCTTCACCTTGCTCTTTTTGTCTCCTCTTCTCACTAAATCAAACGCCGTCTTCCTTCTCAGAGACGCAGCTATTCTCCCTTCCTAAAACGTGGCTTCAACTTTATGCTCTAAGCTCGGCGAGTGACCACGACGGTGCCTTCGCAAGGCTTTCCATCAACTGCTTACGACTACGTAATTTTTTACAGGAATAATCAAATGGTTACATCGTAAAGTCGTGCGCCCCCTGATGACTCCTCTAATATCTTAGTGATTTGCCTTGAACCTCCTACGCACCGTAAAAGATTATACCAATTGTCCGGAGTTTATCGAGTTATCTTTTATACTTAGTGCCCGAAGAGAAGCGGGTAACCAGATCGCTTAATGACATCCTCATTTTCACCACCTAATCACGTTAATCTGCGAGAGAACTTTCACCCACACAACTTATTGCCCTTGAAATATCTCACAAGCAGCGACTCAACATCGCGAATCCCACCGCGGAATTATAAATAATCAGATGACTCGCATCAGTCTTGGTAGCTCCTTTGTGTGGATCGAGCGAAGGCCAAGAACAATAGATGTGATCTTTGAGGCTACCGGGTTAGACTGTCGACACTGTCGGGTCAACGTCGTCTGCGACGAGCCGGTAGCCGCTTTACCTCCTACTTCCGCTCCGCGAATTATGAAACGGGATAAGCACAATACCTCATTTAGCCTGCTCGCCAAAAAGTACGCGTTACTTTTTCTTTGTGAGATCTAGTACGCTATAAAAGTTGTTCAAATAGCGCACATAATAATGCAGAAACTTCGAACTTGTTCCCAAACAAGCGTAAGGCTGCAACAACACCTATCAAAATGTGTGAGTTATACGCATATGATAAATGACCGGTCACACCTGTGACCTATATAGGTGTTTTGAAGTTTACTGTGTAGATTATCAGCGTCATGCCTACCTTTCGCACAATTTAAGAACAGGACATTATTTATACTTTTTTAACTATTAATTGACTTTTCGTTAAAATCATGTCTGGGAGGGTGTAGCAAACGTCGGCCTAAGCCGTGGGACAGTCCTTCCCCTTTCCAGCGCTATAACAGTCGCAGCATAAATGGTCGATGGTCCCGTTCCACGAACACTCGTGCAAGCGCCTATAGGCTCACCAGCAGGGATCTTGGCGTTTACGACTTAAAGGCCGACGTACACTTCGCACTTTCCGCTTTTGCCCTCCCCCTCCTTACCTATATCCTCTCCACTTTTAACCTTGTCCCAACTTGGCTCCCCTCGCAGATTAGGAGAGCGGAGCGCTAACTGGATTATCTTCCCTGCAGAAAACCGAGGTTGTACGTCGGCCTTTAAGCGAGTGTCACAAAATGCGTTTTTATTTTCTTTTTTTTTCTTTTTTTTTTCTCAGAGGTTTTTAGGGAGGGGCACGCGAACCAGAGGACAACATAGCGAACGCGCCGGGCATACCATATGAAAAACGCGTACATCTCGATGACTGCGTCCTAAGATGTGATAAAGTGGGCGACTGGCTGGTTACTGTTTTTACTCGGGCATTCAGCCTTACCTCTACTTTCGATTTTTTTTTTTTTTTAATTATTAATATTATTATTATTTTTTTTTTTTTGTTGTAATTCGTTTCGGGGTTGTAAAGGTTGCTGAAAGGTATATGTCTAATGCCCGGGGAACGAGCACACAACACATGCATACATTTTAAGACATTGGCTATCGTATTTTTCCGCGCTTTCAGGGCCTCAATTATAAAGTTTGGTATTTTTTATGGAGTAGTTGTATTGAATCCCAGTAAAGATCACTTAAGTGAAACTTTGGTTTTGTGTTCTGTGAACCTCTTGAAATGCATAAAAAGTACTGCTTGGAAAAAAAAAAATTACGCTGCAATAGAGGAAAAGTATAAATGACGGCATGGCTCGTTTACAGTGTATACAATTGTGGTTTCCTTTTCACTCGGATTTATATTTTTGTCTAGTAATCTAGATTTTTTTTAAATCAAAAGAAAATTTGAAGTTCATTTGTAATGTAAGATTTCGAGTCTTAAATTGCAGCAATTCATGTCGCTGCTTTATTGAAGTTCGATTTAAATTAAGTACGCTTTTTTCCGGATTCATTTTTGAAGATCAGAGTGCAACATTGGCTAAGGTGTTGATAACTCAACTCCCTTGAAACTAGTTGATATCACACAGTTGATGTTTCTGATTGGACAGACGCCGAAGTGATCTGCAATGGAAGCAAAGGCCAGAAAGGCCGAGAATCCACCTTTGACAGCTCGCCGGACACAGCAGCGGTAAATCACCCGAACTGCATTTCCCCTTCTGCCCGAGAGTGCGTTTTGGCACTACTGTACGTTCGTGTGTTGTGCTACAAGGCGAAGGGAATCTTCCTCTTAAAAGCCCGGCAAGGAAAAGGAAACGACGTCGCGACAAACAAGCAAAGAGGGTGAGTACGCGGGAGAAAATGTAGTGGCCCGAAAGTGCTCCTTCTGTTTCGTCTTCGCATTGCGTAAAAAGATCAAAGTGGATAAAAGAAGAAAATTAAAACAAAAATATAGAAATTGGTTAGCAAGTAACCGTGCCAACAACTCAAGTATAGAGAGAGAAGCGAACGAGAGAGTCTTCTTGTAACTCGCGTAAACAAAGAAGAAAAAGCGTAGGTCCCATAATGCATGGGCATCGGCTGGACAGCATCTGGAAGTACGAAGGAGGCAAAAAAACAAATAAATAAATTGAGAAAAATCAGTGGAGCTGTGCAGTCAGCGACGAATTGCCACGGTCTTTCGGGGCTATTTTTTTTTCTTCCTTTTATTCGTTAATTCTTCTACTACAGGGTTTTACTTTGCTTTTGTTGTTTTGCTAAACCCTACGTGTATTGTGCGGCGCGAGTGACAATTAGCAAGACGTACTGGGTGGGAAAAAAATAAAACCAAAATATTTTATATAATTTTAAAAGCCGCGCAGAAGATGCGGGTTACGTTTAAGAAAGTTTGCTCTTAAGTTTTAGGCGTGTCATTAAAGAGGCGTTTTACCGGGAAGAAGGGTAGTGCAAAGTGGATGCATACTGTCTAGGAAATCACGCGGCGTTGGCTGCTTGCAGTGGCCTAAAGCGGATGGCGACACTGAAGCTTTTATCTGCAGCCAACCAGGAGCGCGAGCGAAGTTCTACTTTTTAAAGCATGCTCTTGTCAAGACTAACATTTTTGTGTTGTTTCTTCTAAGATTCGGTAATTACGCTTTAGACGGAATGATGGAGGTTTTATCGGGACCTCTGTTCGAGACGTAGCGAATGAAGTATATATAAATGTCCTTACAAGCCATGGTGTTACTATGCGCCGAGAATTAAACTGAGGGAGAAAAGGAGACGAATTTTGGTGGGGGGGGGGGGGGGGATGTTATAACGCCGGGCCCTGGACGATCATCGGGGTAGGGCGATTAACCGTCCCCGGATGCTGTAAAAATGAACAGTGGAATTCGCAGATAAACATTTTGACATTCCTATAGGAAAGACTAGTTGAAACTGCTACCAGTTTCAACCTTGGTTATTGCTCCAGTTGGACCAGTTTCAGGATGGTTGAACTGGTCAAGGCGGTTCAAACTGGTCACACTGGTTGACTGGTCATGGTGGTTGAACTGGTCATGGTGGTTGAACTGGTCATACTGGTTGACTTGTCACGCTCGTTCGACAAAAAAAATTTCATTTGTTCACGCCACCACTGCGCTTCGAAAATAATTACTACACAAATGTAGACCAATACGCCTACTACGAGCATCAGCTGAACATACATTGAGCGCATACACATACACGGCACATACAAACATCAATACAACAGCACACTAACCCGATCACTACTTCCGAGCTTTTTTTTTTTTTTTTTTTTTTTTTTGCCAGCTTGGCTTTTATTTGTTTAAAAACATTTTGCTATTTACAACCTAAAAGGTCAGCACTTCTGACACACCTCACAATTGTGCGCACATTTTCAGCGTGACGCTGTTTGTCGCGTTGGTCTGCGTAGCCACACCTTTCCAAAGAGTGCAATACCTTTGGGACCTTATAGCTTTAAAAGGGTCCTGAACCTCTCCCAGTGTTCCGTCTCCTTGAACGAAGTTTCTTTTATGATGGATGACGTGTAGTGAAATCCCTCTAAGAAGTGGCGCCACGCACACTTCCCTCGATCTCGCACCAAGGTGTGATCAGTACGCGAGTTCCATATCGCATGCAAACCGATCAGGGTCAGGAGCTCGTAACATCTGCTTTGTTGCTTTTCCGGTGTGTCTAGAAACTTCATGCTGTACCAGGTTGGGTATAGATCGATCCGAAGCTCCGCGCGGAGCTGAGCCCAAAATAGTTCTGCATTAGTACAATACATGAATGTATGTTGCAGTGTTTCGGGAACAGGGCAAATGACACAATTGACTCCCCAAGGCAGAAAAAAACCTTTTTGTTCCTCCCAGGTCTTGACCGGTAAAACTTCGGTATGAAAGCGCACAAAAAAATCCTTTATCCCTGGCCGAACTGGGTATAGACTCAGACGCTTGAACACGTCCGACTTTTCGCAGCCAGGAAACATTTGGCGATACATTGGAGGCGGCATTACCAGGTCTAGAGTGTCACAATAAAGACGTCTGCGTTTGACGCTGTTTAGGTATTCCCACGAAAAACGTTCTTCAAAAAAACGAATCGCATCTCTAATTTCTCTATAGTATCGTAGGATCGAGGTCCTTTCTGGAGTGCCAACGGTCTCTTTAGTCCATGGAGCCAGATATGGTCCACCGAGCTCCTTTAACGCCGCCATCAACACCGGGCTGGTTGCTCGGTTTCGGAAGACAAGGAAACGTTGCACTTTCAATTTTATGTCTAGGTTTGCAAGTCCCAGCCCTCCCTTCTGCTTGCTAATAAAGAGATTGTTTCTGCGCATTCTTTCAAACCCAGAGCCCCACAGAAACGTTGCACAAAACCGATGCACTTTTTGCACGTCGAGTTGCCTATATGGAACAGCTTGCGCCGAATACCAGACAGCGGAAAAAAATACTGTATTACTAATAACCACTTTGTTCAGTAGCGGCACGTATCTGCCCTGCCATTCTGGAAGTTTGGCCCTCAGTGTGCTCAGGTGAATGCCATCCAGTCCGGTCCTTAGCTGCTCTGTGCCCAGCCCAACCCCAAGATAGTTGGAAATGGATGTGGACCACATGATGCCCAAGAATTGTTTCGGCTTGGATGCCCACGGCCCCAGCCAGGCTCCAACAGACTTTTTGGGGTTAATTTCAGCTCCAGAAACGTCGCTAAACTGCCTTACAAGTTCTACGGCCCGCACTATATCTTTCTGATTTTGACCAATTAGGGTGACGTCATCCGCGTAAGCCAGCAACCGTGCTGACGTTGCACCCAGGCTTGCGCCTTCTATGATGAGGTCATTCAAGATTGCTTTACACATCGGTTCTAGATAGATAGCAAAAAGTATGGGCGACATTGGGCATCCTTGGCGTACCGACGACTTCACTGGAATGGAGCGTGACTTGCGTCCATTGATAAGGATCCGTGTGCTTATGTCTCTGTAACATATTTTGATGAAATTGACCAGAAATTGTCCGGTTCCACAGTGCTCTAATGATGAAAATAAGAAGGAGTGACACACTTCGTCAAACGCTTTTTTAAAATCTATTTGTAGGACAGCCGTAGGACGTCCCATCGCTTCTGCCGTTTCTGCTATAATCCTCATTGTATGCAGATTAGTGAATATCGATCTATTTTTGAAACCATACGTTTGATGATTTCCAACAATGGTATGGAATGCAACTTCGAGGCGTTTTGATATGATTTTTGCTAGGATCTTATAATCCGTTGTCAGAAGGCTTATTGGTCGAAAGTCTTCGCTACTCCTGATTGACCCATCGCTTTTCCGCTTTGGAATTAGTACCGTTGTTGCCTGTCGCATTGAAGGTGGAAGGAGGTTTCGATTATATATATCCGCATGCACTTTCGTTAAAACTGGCACTAGTTCCGATGAAAACATTTTCTAGAAAGCTGCGCCGAGCCCATCAACCCCGGGTGACTTCCTTGGTGCCAGATCCTTAATTGCACATTGTACCTCCGCCTCGCTGATGGGCCCGTTAAGGCACTCCACCGGTTTCTCCGGTACCTTGGGCATAACTGCTAGCACTTCCTTCATTGCTTGTCTGTTCGGAGATTTTTGGTCACCTAACATTTTACTAAAAAAGGCGACTAACTCTAATTCTATTTCTTCGGGTTTCGAGAGTATGTTTTCTCCGCTCTGAAGTTCATGGATGTTGTTGCGGCACGCGCGCTCACGTTCGCGCGTTTTAAATATATTTGTGGGGTCTTCTGACCGTTCGAGCGTGCGTAACCTTGACCTCACCATAGCCCCTCGATATTCTTCCTCTAGTTGTTCCAGCAGTTGGGCCTTGCATTCTTGAATGTCAGCCGTAAACAAGCCAGGTGTTAAATTCTCTTCCCTTATTAAAGTTTGCAATGTCTTCATCAGGTTTCTTTTAGCGGATTTCCTTTCCATAGATTTTTTTCTGGCAGAAGGCGATTGCGCTCATCTTTATTTCTTCTTTCAGCAGCTCCCAGTGCTTAGCGTTCACTTCATGACTTTTCGCTTTCTCTGTGATAAGCCTTTTTAACTCTTGTTGAAGCTCCTCCTCCTCAAGCGCGCTTTCGTTTAGTTTCCACGTTTTCCAGGATGAATCGCAGTTTTGCTTTTTCTTTTCCTTCCCTATCTGCGCCGTAACAAGAGCGTGATCTGAAAAAGCAACTAGTATAACGTTATAGGCTATCGTATTTGCCGCCAAGCCACTCGAAGCATATACGCGATCTAGTCGCGAGTGACATTCCCCTTGCCAATGAGTGTATCCAGGAGATGGCGCTTGTACAAATTCAGTTACGTCTTGCAAATCAAAATCTCTAAGTAGCTTCTTAAGTTCTGCTATGCTGGAGTCCTGTCGAAGTCCCTTCGACGAATCTTTGGCCCGAGTCACGCAGTTGAAATCACCCCCCAGTAGTGTGTGTGCCGGAGTGCTGATATACTGTCGGAGCTGATTAAAAAAACCTTTTCTTTCTGTCGGTTGGTTTGGCGCATGCGCTGCGACTATCCGAATAGCTTCATTATTGTATAGCACGTCTAAAGCGCAAATTCTTCCACTCCGGTCCGTCTCCCATTCAGGGAATACTGTAATGCCGCTTTTCTTTTTAATTAGTACGGCTGTCCCCGCACTATGTGAAATGGCGTTGACATACCGGAGTTCAAAGTGGTTTTCGAAAAATTGGACGGCCTGATTAGCATGCTGAGCGGTTAATTTAGTTTCTTGCAGTAGTGCGACGTGAACTCTTTCTGCTAAGAGGGTGTTCAGTAACCACTGTTGTCTCTTTCGTGCAATTAAGCTAACGCAATTGAAAGTAACTATTTTTAAATAGAACACTGCGAGTTAATGCAAGTACTTTCCTCACCGCACTCATATCAAGGGGGTTATGCATCAAAAAAGAAGAAATGCGCCAGAAAGCATCACAGTGCATGCAAGAACCTACTGAGAGTCCTTTTGCCGACGAGCTTCAGTCGGGATCCGGGTAGTGGTGCAAAACTATCGATAGTACTATCGATAGTACTATCGATAGTCGACTATCGAAAAACTATCGATAGTCGACTATCGGAAAACTATCGAAAAACTATCGATAGTCGACTATCGGAAAACTATCGATAGTACTATCGATAGTCGACTATCGAAAAACTATCGATAGTACTATCGATAGTCGACTATCGAAAAACTATCGTTAATCAAATATCAGAAAACTATCGATAGTCGACTATCGTAAACCTATTGATGGTACTGTCGACGATTTACTATCGATAGTTTTGCGACACTAGTAGTTTGCGTCGCTCCCTCTTCTCTTTTTATCGCTTTATTTATCTTTTTTTTTTCAAATGGGACACCGATTAGGCCAGCCACTTACCATCCCAACTTTCGTTCAGCTTTCAGTGATGACGAAGACGGGAGTTTGGGCGAGGAGAGGAGAAGGGGGAGGCGAGCGGTAGGGCGAGGGTAAGGCGGGCCGGGGAGGACGAAGCAGACGGAACGCTGGAGAAGAGATGGGGAAACCTCCTTCTCTCTTCAGCGTTCCGTCTGCTTCCTCCTCCCCGGCCCGTCTTACCTTCGCCCTACCTTCTTGAGTTGTAACGGACTATAGTGGTGCAAGACTATCGATAGCACTATCGATAGTATCGTTAGCCGCCAGTATAGTAAAAACTATCGATAATCGACTATCGAAAAACTATCGATAGTACTATCGATAGTCGACTATCGAAAAACTATCGATAGTACTATCGATAGTCGACTATCGAAAAACTATCGATAGTACTATCGATAGTCGACTATCGAAAAACTATCGATAGTACTATCGATAGTCGACTATCGAAAAACTATCGATAGTACTATCGATAGTCGACTATCGATAGTTCTGAGACACTATCGATAGTTTTGGAAAAACTATCGATAGTATCGATAGTCAATTTATCGATAGTTTTGCATCACTAGATCCGGGTCTTTGGGTCGAATCGAAAATTCCGCTGGCTGACTGGTTTCCATTTAAGGCGCTGGTCCGGTAGCGCTTGTCCGTCTTCATCCGTGCTGGCCCAGTCTTCACAGCTCCTGAACTTCGGAACAGCCGTGCCAGTGTCTGTCGGTGCAGCTTGCATCGGCTTGACGTCTGTGCTCTGGTCCTGGCCGGTTTGGCGGTCCTCCTGGCGGTTTGAAGCAGTCTTCGAAGATGCGTTGACTTCTGCACTGCTGTTCGTGGTGTCTTCCTTCGCAGGAGCGGTAGACACCGGGGAGGCCGAGGGAGTGGCAGGCGGAGAGGGGGTGTTGTCCTTTGCAGCTTCCGCCTCCAAGGGGCACAGCACGTCCATGTTGCTACTGGCCGGCAAGCTGCCACCTGCCGCGACTTCAGCTTCTTCCTCATCCATAATATCTTCGAATTCATCCTTTCCGGTCGCACCTTCTGTGACTGTAGCGTAGCTCCTGACGCAGTCGTCCTTTTCGTGCCCGAAGCGCCGACACAGTTCGCAGCGGGGCACTTTGCACTCACGCCGAACGTGTCCTGTCCTTCGGCAACGCAAGCACATTGGTGCGCGCCCCGGGGCGATGACTAGAACTGAGCCGTGCGGCATGCGCAGTTGGTGCGGCAGCCTTTCTAAGGTCACGCTGTCCTTGAGCTTCAGACGCACCACTCTAGTAGTAGATTCCACGCCTTGGAAGCCGTCTTCATGCCAGCTTTCACGAACAACACCTTGAACGGTTCCGTAAGGCTCAAGAGCCCTCCGGATTCCGTCATCAGGGACGTCACACGGCACCCAGTGCAGTTTTAAGCGTACCTCAGCCTTGTTGGGGTCCAGCACGAGGCACCTTTTTCCCTTGACGAGCAGTTCTTTTGCGTCCTGGATCTTCTGCTTTGATGCCAGTGAGCGGAAGGTAGCAATCCAAACATGGTTCATCTGGTAGGAACCAAATGCCTTGAGGTCTTGCAAGACGCCGACGCTCTGAAGCCCTGGTTTGAAGTCGCCAATCTTGTACGGCCTTCCCGAGACATCGCAGTGCAGAAAAATGCTGTTGTGCATGATGATACCTGTTGGCAGGGGCGGCAGTACAATCCGATAATCCTGAGGAACAGCAGATGTCTCAAAACCGCGGCCCGATAAGGCCGTTATCTCAGCTCCCGCGGAGCCAGCCATCCGTGCGTCCGTACTCGACGAGTGCCGGAAACAGGAATGATCACTACTTCCGAGCTCTGCGTCTCCGTGTTTTATGCTGGTCGTTTTGAACGTACGGAATTTCTCGGTGACAGCCTAAGCAATAAAGAATATTCCCAGCGTGTTGATTTTTTCCCATCAATGTCATACCTCTGAGATTATTTTGAACGGCTCAGGGGATGAATCTCTTAATAAAAAGTAAACGCTTGATCATTCTG